GAAATACCCAGGGTGTGAGTGTTAAGACAGCCAGAGGGGGTGGCCTGCACGTGAGGGGGAATCCGGACCTCGAGTGAGCGCCGCACAGTTCTCACGGTGACGCTTCCAAGCGTGTTGATCGCCGCGTGGTAGCCCCTCGGCTCTGCCAGGCCGCCAAGCCCACCCCAGCAGCCCTGCCCTCGGGGTCTCTTCCACTAAACGGGGCCCCACCAGCCGTTCCCAGCACCAGCATCCGGCCCAGAGGGCCAGGGCCTCCGTCTGACGGAAATAGTGAGTGAGTCTGCTGCTCATCTCTCAAAAAACACTTTTCCCAGATGCAGAGCTGGGTCTGTGCCAGCCAGCGCCCACAGCGGGCACCGTCCCCAGAGGGGTAGCGGCAGCCCCCCAGCCAGGCGTGGCCGGAGGCCCCCCACTTCTAAGCTGGGGGCTCCGCAGTGGGCGGGGCTCACCCACCTGTGGCCACCTGGCCACGCGGGACCCAGCCCCAGGCCTCCTGTCCTGCCCTGCGTCTGGACCAGTGAAACCTCCGGCTGTCACGGCAGAACCAGGGAAGGCGCCACGTCCTGCGGTGGGAACTACCGGCGAGAGACCTGGGTGTCGAGCACCTACTGCACCTCCAGACTCTGGGGTCCTGCGGGGGTGTCCGACCGTGCCCCCTCCACATCCACCACAGCAGCGCACGGCTGCAGCGCCCGGACCCTGCCTACCCTTGGGGCTCACCTGAGGGGCCCGGGGGGAGCTGGCATGGGGGTCGCCTGTGGGTTCTGGCTTCTGCAGGCACCTGGCTGCAGGGACGCCTGCAGGCGCTTTCCCTGGCACCAGCTTGTAGTGAGCGCCTCAGGCCCCCCCAGCTCAGGCCTCATCAGACACGCTGGGCACAGCGTCCGCTCCCTGGGGGACTGCAGAGGGATCAAAGCCTGGGCAGAATGAGAGTGGCTTCCTGCCAGACGCCGCAGCCTGCCCCGGCCAGGGTGGGTGTGTCCCCAAGGTCACTTCATGGGCGAAGCTGACATTAGGACGAGAGGAAGGGGCCGAGCCCAGTGTCAGAGCCAAGTGTCCGAGGGGCAGAGGCCGGGAGCCCCTCCCAGCGGGCCTCGGACAGAGGCCATCCAGACCTGCGCAAGGCCAGCGGCCGTCCACTCCCAGGCCGCCCTAGGGTGGCTATGGCTAGGGCGCTGCTCTGGCCTGGGTGCTGGGTGTGTGTGGGCGGGGCCCTCGGAGCCACGGCCTGCTGTTGGCTCAGGCCCGAAGCTGAAAATAACAAATTGTGCTGTGAGCACACGTGGGGGGGGAGTGAAAGTCGCCCTGGGTCAAAACCAGCCCGGGCGTGGGTGGCGCCTCAGAGCTCCGCTTGTCCCTGGCTGTCCGTCCCCTGTAATAAGTGGTTCTGGCTGAACGCTTCATTACAGAAAGCTTTAAACACAAATAGCATAAAGAGCCCCTGTGGCCACCCCAGCTTCAAAGCAGCCCAGACCGCAGGTGGCCGCCCGCGCACCTGCGCTGGCCCCAGGGC